CCCCCCCCCAACTGACCCCCAACTGCCCCCCCACCTCCCCTGTACTGCCCATCTGCCCCCACTGCCTGCTGTGCCTCAGTTTCCCCTTCACCCCAAATGTAACCCTGGCCCCACAGCTCTGCCACCCCCAATTCCCAGCCCCGGGGTCCCTCCTCACCCCATTCCCCAGCCCCATGGCTCCGGGGTCCCCCATTCCCCACAGATTTGGGGTCCCTCCTCACCCCATTTCTCAGCACTTTGGGGTTCCCCTCTCACCCCACAGTTTCGGGATCCCCTCCTCATCCCATTCCCCAGTACTTTGGGGTCCCTCCTCACCCCATTCTTCAGCACTTTGGGGTCTCTCCTCACCCCACAGTTTTGGGATCTCCTCCTCACCCCATTCCCCAGTACTTTGGGGTCCCTCCCCACCCATTCCCCACAGATTTGGGGTCTTTCCTCACCCCATTCCCCACAGCTTTGGGGTCTCTCCTCACCCCACAGTTTTGGGATCCACCTCCTCACCCCATTCCCCAGTACTTTGGGGTCCCTCCTCACCCCACAGTTTTGGGATCCCCTCCTCACCCCATCCCCCAGCACTTTGGGATCCCCTCCTCACCCCATTCCCCACAGCTTTGGGGTCCCTCCTCACCCGACAGTTTTGGGGTCCCTCCTCACCCCATTCCTCAGCATTTTGGGGTCCCTCCTCACCCCACAGTTTTGGGATCCCCTCCTTATCCCATTCCCCAGTACTTTGGGGTCCCTCCTCACCCCATTTCTCAGCACTTTGGGGTTTACCCCTCACCCCACAGCTTTGGGATCCCCTCCTCATCCCATCCCCCAGCACTTTGGGATCCCCTCCTCACCCCATTCCCTACAGCTTTGGGGTCACTCCTCACCTCACAGTTTTGGGATCCCCTCCTCATCCCATTCCCCAGTACTTTGGGGTCCCTCCTCACCCCACAGTTTCGGGATCCCCTCCTCACCCCATTCCCCACAGCTGTGGGGTCCCCCATTCTCAGTCCTACAGCTCCACAGTTCCTCCTCATCCCACAGCTTTGGGATCCCCCTCTCATCCCATCCCCCAGCACTTTGGGATCCCCTCCTCACCCCATTCCCCACAGCTTTGGGGTCTCTCCTCACCCGACAGTTTTGGGGTCCCTCCTCACCCCATTTCTCAGCACTTTGGGGTTTACCCCTCACCCCACAGCTTTGGGATCCCCTCCTCATCCCATTCCCCAGTACTTTGGGGTCCCTCCTCACCCTATTTCTCAGCACTTTGGGGTCTCTCCTCACCCCACAGTTTTGGGATCCCCTCCTCACCCCATTCCCCAGTACTTTGGGGTCCCTCCCCACCCATTCCCCACAGATTTGGGGTCTTTCCTCACCCCATACCCCACAGCTGTGGGGTCCCCCATTCCCAGCCCTACAGCTCCACAGTTCCTCCTCATCCCACAGCTTTGGGATCCCCCTCTCACCCCATTCTTCAGCACTTTGGGATCCCCTCCTCACACCATTCCCCAGTACTTTGGGGTCCCTCCTCACCCCATTCCCTACAGGTTTGGGGTCTCTCCTCACCCCACAGTTTTGGGATCCCCTCCTCACCCCATTCCCCAGTACTTTGGGGTCCCTCCTCACCCCATTCCCCAGTACTTTGGGGTCTCTCCTCACCCCACAGTTTCGGGATACCCTCCTCACCCCATTCCTCAGCACTTTGGGGTCCCTCCTCACCCCATTCCCCACCCCCTGCATTTTGGGGTCTCTCCTCCCCCCCCACAGCCCCTCAGCTGCACTGGGAGCAGCGAGCAGCCCCCCATTCCTGCAGGGTGGCCCTATAGGGTCAGGGTCTCTGCTCCCCATAGGGTGTATGGGGGGGGGGGGGTCACCTCTTAGAGGGGGTCCCGCCCTCTCCCCCCACCCCATAACCCCAAATAAACGACAACCCTCAACTCCGTATCAGAACTCTTTATTACAAACATCATAGAAATCTCAACGGTACAAAATAGAACTTTGATCTCAACCCCCCTCCATCCCCCCTCCCCAAAA